ATATTCTATCCTAACAGTAAGCTCTTGTCCTGAGTACAGGTTATGTATCAGGACAATCAAATGTCGTGGCACATCCATTTCTTGAAGAGCAATCTTATAGTTTTTCATGATCTATAAAATTAAGGGCTTTGCTATAATCTATAAAGTATGGGCTAATTTTCTTTTGAAATTCTTTGTTGTTCCCCATTTGCAATGTGACCCCTAATGCCTCTTCCTTTTCTGAACCCAGCTTGGACACCTGGCATTGCTCATTCCATATACTGTAAAATTCTTTGTTGTTGAATTTTGAGCACCATTTTGCTTGCATGGTAAATTAATGCAATGGTTCTATGGTTATTGCAATCCCTAGTGTCCTCTTTCTTGGGGACTGGCATGTATATTTAGCATTTTCAATCAGTGGGCCATTGTTTTGTTTCCATATTTGTTGATAGATGTTAGTTAGAACTAGAGTAGATTCTGTCTTTGTAGCCTGAAGCAGCTTTATTGGTGTGCCATCTGTTCCTGGTGATTTATTTATCCCAAATGCTCTGAGTGCAGCTAAAATTCTGAAATTGGAGGTTCATTTTCATATGATTTTCCCTCAAATTAATCTGTCTACATATATAGTTATTCTGTGTATTGTTTCCATAGCCCAATGTGGAAAGCGTTCCTTTGCTGGTCATAGAACACTCCCAGTAGAGGGCAGCAATCACTTGTGAATTCACTCTGGTTATTCACTAATAAAAACCAGGTCATGCTGGAGTAGAAGTGCAGTTTCCGTCTCTTCTTTGGAAATGAATAGTATTGTATTTCCATGGGGAGTGTTTACAGATTTGTGTGTGTGTGTGCACTTGAAATGTACAGTTATTCCTAAATTATCATGGGATATCAAGCCAAGTTTTTAGAAATCAGGGTTCTGTTGCAGCGATATCATTTTTTCCCAAGCAAAAACCCTGCAATATTGAAGAATGAAACTGCAACACACACACACACACACAAGCTAGTTATTGCTAGAGTCCATATGCAGTATAGCCTCTAGCTATTATGCATTGTCAAGATGGGAACCTAATGACTGCTGTGTATCGCAAGCGGCATATCAAATCCCTCTTTACCAGCCCCGTAGTGCTGTTCCACATCTCAAATACTTGGAAATGTATTTTTAAAATGTGCACAGGGCACTGTTTCTCTTCTTTCTAAGAAAGATATGCATAGCATTTTGGAAAATGAAATTAGAGCTACAGAAAAATGTGATAATATCAAATCAGAGCTTGGAATATTGGGCTTATATAGTTCTTTGGTTGCTGTTAATATTGGAAAGGCAGACATTTGTTACCTTAGGGGTTAACTAATTTGCTAGTCATTTGTCTTCAAATGTACTAAGGATCACCCAGGGCTATGCCTCCTCTTGGCTTCTTATGTCTTGATAAGCATTAGGTCCAACTCTTTCTCCAGCAGTGGCCAAATAGATGCCTCTGGAAAGCACACAAGCTAGACTATGATGGCAAGAGACATTCTGGTAAGACCCATCTT